AAGTAAGTACACCATACAGATAGTAACCAAGTAAGTACACCATACAGATAGTAACCAAGTAAGTACACCATACAGATAGTAACTAAATAGGTACAACATACAGATTGTAACTAAGTAAGTACAACATACAGATTGTAACTAAGTAGGTACAACATACAGATTGTAACTAAGTAAGTACAATATACAGATTGTAACAAAGTAAGTACAATATACCACATACGGATCATAACTAAGTAAGTACAGCATACAGATAGTAGCCAAGGTAGTATGATAAAGATCGTAACCAAGTACAAATATAAGGACGTACTAAATACAGGTTGTAACCATTTCTGTGGGGTCTGACCTTAATTGTGATGATTGGAATGAGAGTTTAGAATAGGGGAATTGTGTAATCGGGAATTTAAATCCCGTGCAAAACTCTCCGCAAACCCTAGATGTTACACAATTTGAACACCCATTGGATGGAATTCCCTTATCCTACAATCCTGAGCATGAAAGTATAATCAAACACTACCTTCATTATTAATTTACCTACATATTAAGTATACACTACATTCATATTACACGTATACCATACACTACCTAGATACATTTGTATTACAAGTATACCATTGGCATACACACTACCTACATATTACGGGTATTCCACACTTCACGTTCAACTAACAGGTATACAATACAATACATGCAGTATTACAGGTATATGACACATCACCTACATATTACAGGTATATGATAAAAATCGTCGTTTTACAGGTACATTATAGTGCCATCCGGCAAGAAAAAACAGGAGGAGGAGAAATACAGATCTGTGTCTAACAAAGGGACGGGTGGCTCTAGTGAGTATATCAGTGACGTTATTTGTCTGCAAAAAAGTCACATGTTTAATGTTATTTTTTGACATATTGAACAGCTGTATTATGTCACGTGTTATTAATTAGATTGTCAAACCTTTCGAGTCTACTGTATTAAAGATCCCCGTACATAAGCCAGAAAAGTCATATCTTGCGAGCTATTATAGAAAATAAAAAACGTAAATTGGAAATCCGATTCATCTGAGCTACCTAGTAAACGGAAGTAATTTTGCCAAATTGCGCTACAAATAACAAAAAATGTAAAGGTGCTTGCCTGCATTAAGAAAGGAATGCACGTAATATGATAGCTACATTGTTTGACATTCAAATCTGTTGTATGAAGTCACGTGTTTTGTAAGTTATTTTGTTGGACACTCAAGTTTGCTGTATAAAGTCACCTTTCAGATCGTTATACTTAGCTGAAAATAATTGTATAACTCTCTGTCGCAGGTATACTACCATTTTTGAAAAGTGCCAGGAATACAACAAGGGGGACCGACGAGTCCATGTGATAGAGTGCCAGGGGTACAACAATGGGGACCGACGAGTCC